CATTGCACATGTGTACATAGCGTTCACTGTTAGACTGTAAACTCCTCTAGGGCAGGGACTGTCCGTTTCGTCTTGGTACTTCCGGCAGCACCGAGTTCAAGCACCGTGCGCGGGAAGGTGCTGTGGTCCGGAGTGGGAGGGAGGAGCCCCTGCCACCTTTAAGATGGGGCGCGGCTCACTTCTCCCAGGCGCTCAAAACTGCAAAGAACTCACAACCCAAGTGGGTCGACTTTGTTCTCTGGTTGAACCAGACGGTGCCAGGTCTCCGCACCAGCGAGCCTTTCTCTCCTGAACACGGTGCGCTGGTGCCCTGAGCTCTTCTCACGTCAGGGCAGCGGGTCCTGGGGAAGTCTGAAGTGGGAAGATTCCAGAGAAAATGCAGTGGACGTCTCGGGGGGCGTCTGTGTCACTGCGTAGCCCTGTTTTTACTAAAGAAGGCGTAACAGACCCGCTGTCTCTACCAGGCAGCTGCCAGCCAGCTCTCCAGCTAACGAAAGACCCCCGGTTGTAGCTTTCTCCATTTTGGATGTCCCTGTTGCTCATCTGATTCCAGTCCTTAGAATCTAATAAAGTTTCTGTGAATATCCAGTGCTGTACATAATGACAGTTTTGTAAAAATGTGATGAAATAACCTCAGATATGTTGTGTTTTGTATGCAGAGCCACTAGTATTGTTACCCCAGCCAGCTTTTTATTCAAAATAAAAAAATAACAGAAGTATTTGTATATTGAGTGCGTATCTTAGCAGGCTTGCCTGAGCTGTAGAGAAGCTCAGAGGCCTCCCTCGGCCTGACAGCAGGAGCAGCTGTGCCCGGGAGAGAAGCCATTGCCCGCCACCTCGGGAGTCCCTCCGCCTCCGCTTTGTTCCACTGAACACAGGAGAGGGAACAATCAACGGAGCATCAGTAACGGGAGGCCACACGTTGTCCACCTCAGGTAACCGGCACCGGGTGGTTACGGAAAACCAAGCACCGAATGCAATGATTGCACAATAAACATGAACTCGGACCAGCACTCCTGCTGACAACCAGAAAAGCCAGACAAACACCAGCCAGGGTAAATACAATGAAAAACACACCTAACGGCATCACAAGACTGCTCAAAAGCAGAGACAAAAGGTTCTGAGCAGTGAAAGAAGAGACAGGTCACCTTAAAAGGAGGGTAGACAACTTTGAGCGGGTTTATTGATGGGAACGGTGGAAGTGAGCTGGCGCTGGGAGGCCCACCCCAGTGCTGCCCCGAGCACTGTTCACTGAACGCAGCCCTTCCGCTGCACTGGGCTCTGGTGGCCCAGGAGGCAGCAGCCGTCGGAAACAGCTGCCTCTATGTGGTACTAGCTGCCCGACCACGGAGTCAGGAGTCGGAAAACCAGCTCTGGGAGGAGGATTGGTCCCCGGTCATTCCCTGGGAACCACTGGAGAATCGGTGCCTCCACAGCCACCCTGAGACTTGGTGGGGCTGCGCTCACGGGTCCTCTGTGGAAAGCTTGTTTCACAGATAATGCGGGCCCCCACCTGTACCATCCACGCGCTGACTCCACGTGGGCAGCCGAAGGGGCGGCTGGCAGAAACGCCCCCTGCCTCTCGCCGTGCCGTGGCCGGGTCCAGTGTTGGACGGCGTCTGCACCCGAGCATGTGTCTTTCTCGTATCCCATGAACTTGCTTGGTTGTGAGATGGCAGTCATGTTGGGGAGTCACCTTTCCTCGGGGTGACTCCAAAACAGTGGGGGTGGGAAATGATGGGTGAACATGGTCTCTGGGAGGGAGGGTTTTGAGGGGTGTTGCACATGGAGGATCCCCATGGGACTGCACCCAAGTGCCCGCAGCGGGCCCTGCCCGTTACCTAGATTGTGTTGGCTCTCCCTGTCCTGTCTCCCATCCCCACCCCAACACCTGTGCTGAAGCCACAGTCTGGTCTCAGGCTCTGCTGTGATGGGAACCCAAATAACAGGGGCAAAACCCCCAAATGAAATATTATCAAACTGAACTTACATCACAACAAAGTGAGTTACTCTAGGAATAAATTATAATTAAAAATACTGTAATGGACACATTTGTTATTGAAAAATTTGTCAAGAGAGTGGACCTCATGTTGTACTCTTACCACAGTAAAAAAAAGAAAAGAAAGGTTACAGCCGGCCAGTGTGGCTCAATGGTTGAGGGTCGACCCAGGAACCAAGAAGTCACCAGATGGATTCCCAGTTGGGGCACGTGCCCGGGTTGCAGGCTCAGTCCCCAATAGGGGGTGTGCAGGAGGCAGCCAATCAATGATGTTTCTCTCTCATCAATGTTTCTATCTCTCTATCCCTGTCCTCTTTCCAAAAAGCAATAAAGGAAAAAAATTATTTAAAAAGTTACAGGGCAGTAATCCCATTGGTGTTCATGCCCACTGATCTGTCCACCTGTCCGTCCATCTATCCATCCATCCACTCACTCCAGACTTTTCACTCGGGGTATTTCTAGTAAATGACAATAACGGGTTTTATCGTAGTGAGGACGGGAGTTTCACTCTCAGATATGTCTCTGTTGTATGATTTTTTTAAATAAGTAACATTTTAATATTTATAATATCATGATATTTCTATTTTTAAATGAAAGCATGTCCCATGATCAGCTAATATGCTTTTCTTTTCTTGCCTCTGAACCTTCACATGTGCCTCAAAACTCAGCCCCTAAGTCACTCTCATCTCCCTGGTCTCCCATGAGTCCCGCCGGTTCCCACTGAGTCAACTCTGCTGATGTCTTAGGTAGCAGCCAGCGCTATTGTTAGAACAACAGGGCGCATCTCCAGACAGTCCTAACCACACCACTGCCACCAACCTTGGATGCCCGAGGCAAAGAGGTGCATGCTGGGAGGACAGAGATGTAGCCTAGGGCCCAAGGGCAGAAGTGGATCTCAGGAACCATCAGGAATCAGATGGCTCTCTCATTTCCGCCATCTTTGTAAAACGCAAGCCTGGGGGAGTGGGGGCAGCGGTCTTGTCCCGTTTTTCTGTCCTGCACCCCCAGTGGGGGGCGCACAGTAGGCCCTGGGTAAATGTGTTGAATGAGTGAAAGGGGGGCATTGCTGGCTCAGATGCCCTCCTCCCTGCAGGCCGCCAAGAGAGTGAACAGCTGCCCCCATTCTCTTTCCAAATTCCTGGGCCGGAGAAGCTGATGGGGCAGCTGGGCGCCACCAGCAGGTGCAGCGCGGGTCTCATCCGCTGCTGGCAGGTCCCACAGAGACACCTGTGGAGGCTGCGGGTTGGGAGGGGGACCCCACAGGGACCCTGCACCGCCTGCATTTCCCACTGTGGGGGAGCAGGAGGGCGGGGACTTCTCACGCAGACAGGAGCCAGGGTGTCCCGCTGGGCGCCGAGCGAGGCGAGAGTTAGTGGTGACCATTTATGATAAAAGAGGTTGAAAATGAACCAAGGACTTACATTCACGGCAACATCGGAATGATCTGTTCGCTTGCAAGTGACTCGGACCTCAGTGACCTTCAAGCACAGCCCCCATCTGGACGTTAACAAGACATTGCCCCTCGGGCAGCAGGACGGAGCCTCCTGGGGCCAGGAAGCTCCCAGACCACCCAGCGGGAACACGATGCTAATGTCGCCGCCCCCCGCCCAGCTAGGCGCCAATGAGAGCCGGCAGCCCAGGCCCCAGCTGGCGGAGCGCGGCCTGCAGGGGAGGGAGGAGTCTTCTGTTCCCCGCCCGTCCTAGGCGTGTCCTGGGCAGAGACCTACAGGAGCGGGAGCCTGTTGGGCCCACCCAGTGGGCGCCCAGCGCATCTCAATGAGACCGGAGCTGAGCCCATGTCCAGTCAACACCAGCGGAGGGGCCAGGATGCGGGGGACGAGCTCGTGGGTGCCATCCCACAGCTCGCCCACACCTGCTGGAGGTGCCACGCCGCCCTCACGGGTGGCCCTAGTCCAGGCACTTGGGTCCTGGCCCTTCTGCTGATGGACAGGGCAGTTCTAGACACGCGCAGCTGCTCCCCAAGACTCGCTAGGACCCCGTACAGGCCAGACTTCAGGTCCTACTGGAGCGGCTCCGCCGGGGCCTGCAGAGCCCACAGCGCCCAGGAGTGGCCCCTGAGGACAGACAGCCACGCCTTAGGCTGAGCTCCTCGTCCTGTTCACGGCCCCGCCCACTCACACTGGCAGCCTCCGGCAGGTTGTTTAACTCCCATCCCCACTTCCTCGGTTAAGGATAAAACCAGCGGCTGGGGTGCTCGCGGTGAGAATGAGGCAGGGCCTGTGGGCGGCCCCATCCTCAGCCTCTCGCTCATTTCACCCCACAGGCCTGCTCGGTGCTGCCAGGAGGCAAGGACTTGGTCTCATTTTACAAGGCCCAGAGGTTAAGTGACTTGCCCGAGGTCACACAGCCTCACGGACCCAGGCTGCTTCTTCCACAGCCCCGGCCTCACTGCCTCAGAGTGCTGCCCCGGGGGTGCAGGGGTGGGACTGCTCTGGGGGGAGCCAACGGTGTGGGCCCCCGAGAGCAGGTGGTAAAGTAAGCATCAACGTGGAAACTGAAGAAATGACTGCTGCCCTGGCGGGGATGGCTCAGTGGCTAGAGCACCGGCCTGTGGACTGAAGGGTCCTGGGTTTGATTCCCAGTCAAGGGCACGTGCCTCGGTTGCAGGTTTGATCCCCAGCTCTGGTCTGGGCAGGTGCGGGAGGCAACCCATCCATGTGTCTCTCACATCAGTGTTTCTCTTCCTCTGTCTGTCTCCCTCCCACTCTCTAAAAATCAATGTAAAAAACCATATATATATATATAATCTCTCTTCAGGTGAGGATTAACAAAACAAAACAAAAAAGAAATGTCTGCTTTCTGACAACTGCTCTTTGGCTGTGTTTTTACATCCAAATGGTGTTTCCTGACAGTTCCAGTACAGTGAGATCTCCTCTGGTGTCCGAAATGGCAAGCGAGGGGGAGGGGAGGAGGAGGGAGGTGACCCCAGAGGAAAGTGGAAGGGGGAGGGAGGTGACCCCAGAGGGGGAGGGGAGGGGGGAGAGACAGTGCAGAGAGAGTGAGCCCTCATTCCGAGCCCTGCCCACAGCACTGCCCTGAGAGGGCGGTTTTGTGTCTGCATTATTGAGCGCTCCTTGTGAGCCAAGCCCAGGGCCCACTCACTGACCCCCAGCATGAGGGGCAGGCTCCTTAGTGCCCCATCTGGTTCAGAGAGAGGCTGGGGTCAGTGACGCCCCTCCCTGTGCACGGGCATTGGGGCTGAGCCACAGCACACCTGGCCTGACCCTCCACACTGCCTCACGCCTCCCTGAGCCCCGCCCACCCTGTGCTCCCCAACCCGAAGCACGGCCACCTCAGGACACGAGGCGAGGTGGCACCGGCACCGGCGCCCTTTATTGCCTGGCTGGGAGCGTGGGGGGGCAGAGGGCAGGGCGCTCCCGGCTCTGCTGGCCTCAGGGGACTCTCTGGGGCAGGGGGTGGGTGATCCCGCTCTCAATGTACTCAAAGACGGTGTAGGGGTCCTGGTCCCCATTCAGGGTGATGGCCTGCTTGTAGAACTCCTCCAGCTCGGCCGAGTTCCTGTAGAACAGGTCCATCTTGAACTTGACTTGCTCTTCGGCATCCTTGGGGTTCTGCCGGAGACGGGCCTGGACTTCCATGGTCGGAGGCGGCTTGTATATGAGGTGGTACCTGCGAGAGCAGGGGAGCAGTGAGCACGGTCCGCCCGGTCATCAGGGGAGGAGGGGCCTCTGTCCGACTGGGGCCGGGCTGGTCACTGCCGCCGCCGCCAGGCATTTACTGCCACCGGCTTTGTGCGCAGCCTCGGCTGGCACAGGAGCCACAGACCTGAAACCTGGTCCCGGCCCAGGGCAGAGGGAGGCCAACACCGGACAGAATGGAACAGATGAAGTCCAAACCCGTCTTCCTTTCACTGCCTCCCTTCTCTCTCCCAAACACTGTTTATCCAGCATCTGTCCTGGCCTGTCACTGCCACTGACAACAGACTGACGCTACGCTGACGGAGCGCACAGTGAGACGGGGGAGGGACATTGTGACCACAGATGGGAGCGGAGATGGGGGAGACCCCCACTGCTGGGGGAGACCCCAGGCCACGTGACGGCCATCGCACATGACATGGGTCACCAAAGGACTGTCCCCCTGCAGCCAGGAGGGGCGCACAGATCAGACCTGTAGTTTAGGAAAATCCTGGTATTTCTTTCCTGCCCCTCCTCACTCCTCCTGGAGTGGTCCTGCGCCAGCCGGGCTGCGCACAA